GGGGGGCATAGTGGGTTATGTGTTGGACCACTAACTGCAAGGTCAGCAGTTTAAACCCAGCAGCCACTCCCTGGAAGAAAGATAAGGCTTTTTGCTCCCATAAAAGATTTACAGACTAAGAGTTGTACGAGCCCACAATAAAATGATTAAAAAGAAAAAAAAAGAGTAAGAAGAAAAAAATTTTTACAGACCTAGACACCCACAATGGCAGCTCTACTCTGTCCTGTAGGATTGCAAGGAGTAGGAATCTACTTGATGGCAGTGAGTTTGCTTTGGTGGATATGTCTGTAAATATCAGGAGCCCTGGTGGTGTAGTGGTTATGCATTGACCTGTTGTCCTAATGGTCAGTAGTTCAAAACCACCAGCTTCACCTCAGGAAAAAGTCAGGGCTTTCTACTCCTATACAGAGTAATAGTCTCAGAAACCCACGAGGAAGTTCTACCCTGTCCTTTAGGGTTGTTATGAGTTGGCATGGACTCCATGACAGTGAGTTTGGGGAGTTATGTTTGTATATTTATGTTATTGTTTGTGTTAGTCTGGGTTGACTAGAGAAACAGATCCAGTGACCCTCATATATGTGCAAAAGAGGATTTTATATCAAAGAATAATTTTATATTAAGAAAACATCCCAGCCTAGTCCAGATCAAGTCTATAAGTCCGAAAGTAGCCCATATGTCTGATACCAATCTATAAATTCCTCTTCAGACTCACGCAGCACATACAATGACACCGAATGCAGGGAGATCACAGGCCAGTAGGTGGAAAGTCTTGTGCATTCAGTGGTGGTGGAAGCATCTCAGCGTTGGCAGGGGTCTCCACGTGGCTCCTCCAGTTCCAGGGCTCTGGCTCCATGTGTCTGGTCAGCAGGAAGACGAAGCAGAGAAAATGTGTCTGGCCTCCAGTGAGCTATTTATCTCTATAGCACCTCCAAATGAGGTCATCAAGCTGCGACCTGGTTGACAGGCTAGATGCCACACCTTCGCTCTTAATAGTCTCAAGTTGACACCAGATTATGTAACTGCCATATTGTTGTTAGGGAGCATCAAATTGATTCCTATATATGATAGAGTAAAACACTGTCTGGTATTGTGCCAGCCTCACAATTGTTGCTGTTTGTGCCCATTGTTGCCACCACTGTATCAGTCCATCTTACTGAGGGTCTTCTTCTTATT